CCATCGACATCAATATGCTCGATAAACATATAACTAGACCGTAAAGGTCTTGCAGGGAAACAGGTCATACGAACCTTAACTCCGAAACGAACTACGAAAGGCTTGATCCCCTCAAAAGGGTACGTAGGCAGCCTTCACAAGGCGCAGCCCTAATCTTAAACGCTTTCCGCTCCCTGGAGAGTGGAAAGATCACTTTCAACGGACATTTCCGACCATTAATTCCGCCTAACTTAACTAAAACTGGTTAACCACTCGCAAGAATCTTACGCTAAAGGCTCAAGATTCTTACGAGCTGGGGGGCTAACTGTTGGGGTCAAAATCGGTACGACGGAATCAACGGCCGAAACTTCCCGCAGAAATATAAAAGGAATCATTTTGTAAAACCCGAAGAATCGTTTTATAAAACTCGAGGATCGTTTTATAAAACTCGAGGACCGTTTTATAAAACTCGAGAATTGTTTTATAAAACCCTAGGATCATTTTATAAAACTCGAGAATCGTTTTATAAAACTCGAGGATCGTTTTATAAAATTCGAGAATCGTTTTATAAAACTCAAAGAATCGTTTTATAAAACTCGAGAATCGTTTTATAAGACTCGAAGAATTGTTTTATAAAACTCGAGAATCGTTTTATAAAACTCGAGGATCATTTTATAAAACTCGAGAAGCCGTTTTATAAAACTCGAAGATCGTTTTTAGTTCACCCATCGGGGAACTAAGCCGGCCCGCCTTAGTTCGCCGATGGGTGAACTAAAAAACCTTCTCGGATATCCCGCGCCTCGATCTCCCGCATCCCCGATTCAAAACTTACGTCTTTTGACACAATCGCATTCTAAACATCTCCCGTTCCATCTCGATCCGACTTACCGTTCGAGTTTTACGATAAAAACCGTAAAACTTCGCTTTCTCGGAAAGAACTCGAGGAAATCGTCTAAAACGGCAACGGTTAAACGAAACACCGAACATTGCCTAAACTATACGATTTATTCGAGATTTCTCGTTAAAATCATAAAAACGCGTTTTTTAATAAAAAAACGCCGAGTAAGTCGTAAAAAATGTGTTTTTAATAAAAAAAACGCCGAGTAAGTCGTAAAAAACGTGTTTTTAATAAAAAGTCGAGTAAATCGTAAAACCTTGCGATTAACGCGAGTAATTTATTAAAAACGACGTCATATCAGGAAACGATCCCGTAAAAAGTCGGAAAACGGTTTTTATCGCAAAACGGCCCGGAAGGACCTAAAACGCGATAAAAATCCATCTCGCGATTTCAATGGAATCTAACCCGCAGATTTGATAACGTTTTGACGGTTTATTCGCAGAAGGAAAATAAAGGAAAGTTTGAAGATAAATAGAAGATTTCCGCGGAAGAAAAGGAAGGATCGAGAAAAATGGAAGATTCCCGAAATACTCAAATCCGGCGAAATGGAAAGATCGAACCGTCAAGGCAAGGAGTATATAAACCAGAGGCGTAGGGCAGAAGAGGGACACGAAATCCAGAGCTCTCATCTGAGACTTTCACAACTTTTCTAGATTTAGAATTTTCCGCACTTAGAAACTTAGGCTTTTTCTTGACAAGTTCGGTTTCTATGACTGGCGCTCAATTACTAGACGAACTCGCCCAGGCATTTCGATCTCTTGTCCAGCTCTATCAACTGAACTACGTTCGACTTGATCCCCGAAAGGGGTACGTAGGCAGCCTTTCATAAGGTCCAGTCCGAAATCATTCAAACCTTTTTTCCTATCTTTTTCTGTTTTTCGTTATCGAGCTGCGACTCAACTAGACCTAGGGTTTTATGTTTGTAACTCACTGATGGCCCCTGCGGCCAAAGCCTTTGTAATTCCTTGTAATGATCGCAACGCTCTTACGCGAATCGGAAATAAGATCGACTTTCTTTATAAATTCGTTTTATTATATTTTTCATATTTTTCCGCATTTATTTGGTTACTTGTCGTTGGCTTTCGCAGAGATCCGGTTCCTCTGGAAAATTAGGATTTTCCTAAGTTTCCTTATTTAATGGAAATTGACAAGTGTGAATTCGGTTCCCACAGAAATCTCGACAAGTGTGCCGAAAAATCGAATTACGGACATAGAGGATCCAGATGCAGAGAAGATACTTGAGGAGGAGGATTGTGAACTTGATGGAGAAAATATGGATAAGGAGGAGTTGATGGATGGAGACGATCTTTTGCTTGAGGAGGAAAAGGAAGCTCGGGCTCCGGCGTTTGTGTTGGACTTGGTTTCTTCGACATCAATAGAACCGGGGATGAAAGAGACCCCCTCCTGGTGGTTAGGAAGCCCGAAGTCGGAACTCCCAAAGGCTTCAAGCTCTGGACTTCCAATAACGGAGAAGCCACCGCGCTCCGGTCGCTCGTCACCGGTGGAGAATGCTCGATTGAAGACGAAGAAGAAAGGATCTTCAGGCCATCTTGCTGCGAGCCTGTCGATGAAGAAAAGGAATTTTATTTTGGGCCGGGCCTCGCCAAAGTCTTCAGCTCCCAACAAGGCCTCTCCAAAGATCTCTGCTGGGCCATCCAAAGCTGGGCCAAAAATATCAGCTTCATCATCTGCTGGGAGCCCATCTCCTTTTACAGATTTGGAGTTAACAAAAAACCCTCTAAGGAACAAACACACTTCAGCAAAGGTGGGAAGCACTAAGCCACCAGCGATCCCAAAATGAACACCATCGCATGGAATTGTCGAGGAGCGGGAGCGCTCCTTACTAAGGAACACCTGAATGAATTGTACTATTGTTTTTTACCTAAGTTTTTATTTCTATCGGAAACCAAAAACAATCGGGAATTCTTGCAAGATGTGAAAGCTTCTTTTGGATATGATCATGTTTGTACCGTGGACCCCGTAGGTCGGAACGGAGGTCTAGCCTTGTTTTATATGGATGATCCCTCGGTTTGTATTTTATATGCGGACGAGCATATTATCGATATTAAAACTAGATTTGAAGGCCACACGATTTTTATGACCTTTGTGTATGGACACCCCGATGTTAGATACAGAGACTTAGTCTGGGAAAGACTATCACACATTAGTACTACTCGGAGTGGAGCATGGTTCATGACCGGGGACTTTAATGGACTCACCGGTAACCATGAGAAGAGGGGAGGACGACGTCGTGCAGAATGTTCTTTCCTCCCTTTCCGTACCATGTTAGAAAACTGTGGGATGCTTGATTTCCCATACAAAGGGAATTCATTCTCATGGGTGGGAAAAACAACAAACGGCAAAATTAAATGCAAATTGGACCGAGCAGTGGCAAATGAGGATTGGCATGCACTTTTTAACCATTGTATAGTAGAATATCTACAACTTTGGGGATCAGATCATAGACCTATCCTTACACGGATACAATCCACTACCCAAAGACCAAAGAAGAAAAACTTCAGATTTGATAAACGATGGATAGGGAAACCGGGTTTCAAGGAAGCGGTTATCTCGGGATGGGGACAATTTGATGAAACTCCAGTTCGGAGTTTTCATCAAAAAGTTACCTCCTGCCGAAACAAGATTAGTACATGGAAGAATAATAATCCAACTAACTCAGCTATACTGATCCGGGACTTGAAAATTAAAGTTGACATGGCCCAAGATGATGAAAACTCAACTACGGAAGAGCTTGAAGATTTACAGAGACAATTGATCTTGGCATAAACATGGTGATAGAAATACAAAGTTTCACCATGCCACGACAAAACAACGCAGAGCGCAGAACCGTATTATCAGTATTAAGGACAAGCATGGGAAGTTGGTAGAGAGTGAAATCGAGGTGGAGAATGCGGCTATTCAATACTTTCGTGACATTTTCTCTACCTCTTTACCAACAGAGGTTGATGCCTCCCTACGGTTCATTGCCCCTAAAGTATCCCAGACCGATAATCGGCTACTCTTAGAGGAACCGGGCCTCCATGTCATCCTCAGAACCGGAAATTAGACGAGCCCTTTTCGATATTAACCCAGATAAAGCACCGGGCCGGATGGAATGACTAGCAAGTTATTCCAGAAGTTCTGGAACGAGATGCGTCCAGACATTGTTAGATTCGTTCGAGACTTCTTTGCCTCAGGCAGCTTTGACCCTTTGCTGAACCAGACAAACATTTGCCTCATTCCCAAAAAGAAGAAACCCAGGGAGATGTCTGAGTTCAGACCTATTAGCCTCTGTAACGTCAGCTACAAGATTATCTCGAAGCTGTTATGTAAGAGACTTAAGAGGCTTATACCAAATTTGGTCTCAGATAAACAATCAGCTTTTGTGAAGAAACGGTTGATCACTGATAACATCCTGATTGCACAAGAGAACTTCCACGCCTTGAGGACCAACCAAAGATGTAGGGAAGACTTCATGGCCATTAAAACGGACATGAGTAAAGTCTACGATAGACTGGAATGGAGCTTCCTAGCCACCCTGATGCTAAAAATGGGCTTTGATGCACGACTGTTTGACCTCATTATGTGCTGTGTCACGTCGGTCTCATATCAAGTCCTAATTAATGGCCAATCAAGGGGACGGATCTTACCAAGGAGAGGTTTGAGACAAGGGGACCCCCTCTCCCCCTTCCTGTTCATCCTCTGCACAGAAGCTTTGATCTCGCTCCTAAATGGAGCAGAAGCGGAAAAAAAGCTGCTAGGCCTCCGGGTGGCTTAGGCGAGCCCAAGAATTTCCCATCTCCTCTTTGCCGATGATAGCCTTTTCTTCTGTAAGGCGGAAGTAAGTCAATGCAGGGAGATTATGGACATTATCGATATCTACGGGAAAGCGTCGGGACAAAAACTAAACGCGGCCAAATCCTCGATGTTCTTTGGGAACCAAGTGGATTTTGGTAGGAAACAAGAAATAAAGGAGATTTTGGGATTCTCGACTGAAGGAGGCATGGGAATGTATCTTGGATTACCTGAATTCATTGGTGGGTCCAAGACCAAAGTCTTCTCCTATGTACAAGACCGAATGAATGGACGAGTGAACAATTGGTCATCGCGGTTACTATCCAAAGGAGGGAAAGAAGTTCAGATTAAAGCAGTGGCGCAAGCAGTCCCGACATACCCAATGTCGTGCTATTTGATCCCACAAGGTATCATCGATAAAATGAGGGGTACGACCTCAAATTTCTGGTGGAGCTCGAAGGAGAACAGCAGAAGGCTACATTGGATAGCATGGGATAAGATCTGTACCCCTAAAGATTTAGGGGGACTAGGGTTTCGGGATCTCCATGACTTCAATATAGCACTTCTTGCGAAACAATTATGGCGGTTGATTTACTACCCGAATTCTCTGCTTGCACGCGTTTTGAAAGGAAGATACTTCAGGAACACCCCACCCCTCGAAGACTGCCAGTCATATTCACCTTCATATGGGTGGCGTAGTATCATGGCAGAAAAACCTTTACTTATCTCGGGTCTCCGAAAGAGAATTGGTTCGGGCCGTGACACAAGGGTATGGAGTGAAAACTGGATCCCTGATACAGTGGCCCGACCACCTAAGCCCGCAGATCACATAGTCTATAAACTACCCCAACTCCCTGTTCAGGCCCTTATTAGGAATGATACCGGGGAATGGGATATACAGCGCTTACATGACTACTTCCAGCCAGAGGATATTGCCCTAATCCTTGGGATTAGACCCTTCAGATCCTCTGCTCCGGATGGATATGTCTGGAATTATACGAAGACAGGAGTATATTCGGTTAAGACCGGCTACGATCTACTACAATCGAACAAGACAAGTCCCACACATGGCTTGGTCTTACAACCAAGCATCACTGTCCTCCAGAGCCATGCGTGGAGGATTGAGGCTCCAAGCAAGATGAAGCACTTTTTGTGGCAAGCTATATCAGGATGTGTGGCGACAGCAGAGCGACTCACCTACAGACACTTGAGCACCGATAGGAGTTGTCCTAGATGTGCTGACCTAGTGGAGTCATCATCTCCTTTTTGAATGCCCCCCGGCCCTGCAGGTCTGGGCTTTATCGGACTATCCGTCCATTCTGGGTGTCTTCCTGAGTACATCTATCTACCAAAATATAAACTTCATGTTTTGGAAGAGAAAAGAGGTGGCTCCCCGCAGACCACAATTCGACATTTTTCCATGGATCTGCTGGTTCATTTGGAAGGCGAGGAACGACAAACTCTTCAATGGGAAAGTCGTCTCCCCGATGGATACCCTCCAGCATGCGTCCCTTGAGGCAGAATGCTGGAAAAAGGCAAACGAGAGAGAGGAAGAAGATGAGGTACATGCTGAGAGTTCGGATGCAGCAGCAGCCGCTATAAAGCCCCTTGGGCTCTCCCGAATCCCTTCCTGCCAAATTGATGCTTCATGGATCGATCATGGTAGTGTAAGTGGCTTAGGGTGGAGCTTGAAGGATCAAATAGGCTCGGAGTGGTTTGGATTACGAGCATGTCGTAGGAGCTGCTCAGCCTTGCATGCAGAGATGGAAGGGTTACTATGGGCAGCCTCATGTCTGAGAGACCTACGGATCCCTTCGATTCGATTCGAAACGGACTGTTCGGATCTCGTCGATATGAGTACAAACCCGGAGAATTGGCCGGCTTTCGCTACAGAGATCGAGATTTTCCAGAGGCTACGGGAGGGCTTCGAGGATGTGCGGATGTCTCATATTCCCCGGATCTCGAATGGTCGAGCAGATGCACTAGCCAAAGAAGCAAGAAGGAAAGAAGTTGTTTTTTCCCATATAGATCAGACCAGGCCAGACGGAGGTGCTCTCCGTAGGATCGACTCGTCTGTCCACCACTTGGGGGGACACGGGTTTGGACCCGGGGCGGTCACACCGTTTGCCCCCAAGTAAGCCGGCACTGGTTAGAAAACTAATCAAAACCGGCAAAACAATTAAATCGATAAGAGGTAAAATTAGACTATTCATTTGTAATTGATCTGGATGAGCCTACCATTGACCCGTGAGATTTGATATACCCAAACCATATTATGTTACTCCATTGTTTTGTGATTTTTTATATGGTAATCGATGTTTGATCTCATTCTTTTTCTTAAACCCAAACTATTAAGAAAATGAGATTATTTTTATTGGGTGTAAGACAAAAGATCCATTCGGGTTATGAGGTGAAAGTATGGGAGGATCCTTGGATTCCTACTATACCAGCAAGACCGACGTCCTTATCTGTACCGGTTTTGCATCCAAACATGAGAGTAAGTGATCTTATTAATCAAGAGACAAAGACTTGGGACACGACAAGACTGGAACAATATGTCAACGCTGTTGATATACCTCTCATAAAGAGTATGTCCATTAGTTCGACACATCGTAGAGATACATACTGCTGGAGTTATACAAGGAATGGACAATATACAGTCAAGTCTTGATATTGGGTGGCACGAAATATTTTAAGACGGGAAGAAATGCATGTAGTTAGTGAACCTAGTATCACTAAACTACAAGCGCAAGTTTGGAAGGTGCGGGCTCCCCAAAAGATGTGCCATCTTATGTGGCAGATAATAATAGGTCATGTGGCTGTTACGAGTACCTTAAACTATAGACATATAAGGTGTGACAATTACAGCCCACGTTGTGGAGAACCCGATGAATCAATCACACACGCCATTTTCATGTGCCCTCCTGCAAAGAAAGCCTGGGCCTTATCGACATTACCTACTAGCCCTACTTTGTTCCCACTGC